CGTATTTATCCTGTATATATTTGAATGCCACTTCACTAAATAACAAATTTGAGGAATTTAAAGTATTTTGTCACCTGAATGAACCAAATATAATCGGAGTAACGGAGACATGGTTTAGTGAAACTTCAAATTCGTGCGTGGAAAATTTTTGTTTATATCGTAGCAACAGAAAAGAGCGCTGTGTGGGCAGAGGAGTTTGTATTTACGTGAATAGCGAAATAACGTCTTATGAAGTTAATGAAAAATGACTATTGACGACTGACTTTTTTTTGGACTATACTAGTTTTCAAGAACGACAAATATTTGGTAGGATCAGGGTGTAAGCTAGCCCTGTGGCGCCCCGTCAAATGCAGTTTTCCCAAATGTTCATAAAATTAAAATTACCAATTTAAAGATGAAAAAATCACATTCTACAAAAAAAGTTTCCAAATAAAAGTTTAATAATAATTCTAAAAATACTATAAAATTAATTATTATTTAAAACTAATAGAAAAATAACATAAAAAAATTCAAATTCATTAATTGCGTAAAACATGAAATCAAATCGCCATTATTAGTATAAAAATTCAATTGCATAACTGCAAAAATTGGTTTCTTGGAAAAAACATCATGAGAATTGGGATTTTTGGAGCAATTTTAGTGATTTTTGTGGCAACTTGCAATAAAGTTTGAAAATAGTTTTTTGCAATGCATTCCAACAACAGCAAATATTATAAAAAAAAGTTAGCAAGAAATAAAGTAATAATCTAAAAGGTCCAAAATAATAACAAACTTGTTTGGTTTAACACCCGCAAATCCTATTTCTTTAAAAGTTTCGCCCTTTTTAGCTAAAAAGTTAAATAACTTATTAAGTCTTACCGTAAACTCAACTTTAAGTAGTACATGTATTTCGTCAACAAAACATCAAGAAGGTTATGTCAGATACCTTTTGATCAATTACGGTTATTATGGAAAGTCTTTTAGTTATTGTTTTTCTTTTTTTTTTTTGTTTGGTAGTTTATATCAACTGGATTTGCTAAAGTTTTTTACGTTTTTACTGGTATTCTTCGGTGCCATGCGTGCAATCGCTTGCTAATAATATTACTCTATAACTAAACGACATTTGTTGCTGTATTTGCTGAGACTTTGTGATTATAACTTTATTTCTCTTTGTGATTTATGTATAATATAAATTAATATTAATTATAAAATTGAACTCGCAATAAATGTGAAACATGAAATTTATGAGCTTATGTTAACTATTTTTAAAACCTTATCTATTTTCAAAAAATTTCTTTTGATGACACAATTTATTACATGATGATGTAAGGGTTCGTTTGTAAGGTACATCAAGCAGAATTTAAATAATAATTAGAAGTAGAAGGTTATTGGCTCATTGGAGATCGCTATTTTACTATATTATATTGAAAAAGAAATATATATTTAAAATAATACTCTTGAAATGAAAGCGGCGACAATATATAAAGATTAAAAATAAATCAAATTAATTATTCTCAATAATAATTAATATACACTGATTAGTTTATAATAAAAAAAAGATATCATTTCTAATATATATTAGGAATTATATCTTTTTTTATTATAAACTGTATGTATATATATATATATATATATATATATATATATATATATATATATATATATATATATATATATATATATGTATATATGTATATATATATATATATATATATATATATATATATATATATATATATATGTATATATATATATATATATATATATATATATATATATATATATATATATATATATATGTATATATGTATATATATATATATATGTATATATATATATATATATATATATATATATATATATATATATGTATATATGTATATATATATATATATATATATATATATATATATATATATATATATATATATATATATATATATATATATATATATATATATAGGTTCGGAAATCGGTTCTTAGTTTGCCGTGTTGTAAAACAACATCTAATTTTGTGTTTATTTCATATTCATCTTTAATGATACAGATGGTATTTTATTTTTACTTTTGGCTCTGATCAATCAATATATGGAGCACTGAAGTAGAGTAGAAAGAAAAACCGACCGACCAAACTATGTGATAGATATGGAACTGTTCAGAACTGTAAAAGAATATGTGGATAAACGGGGTTTTAAAGATCTATTATTTATGGGTGACTTTAATTTCTCAAAAATTGAATGGTCAGATGGTCAGTAGTCCGTGCAATAAACTCCAGTGAACATTCGATAGAACATCATTTCTTGGAAATAATAAACAACGAATTTCTAATTCAGCATGTTGCGATACCTACTTTTCAACTAAACGAATCAACTTATGAGAGTACATTGGATTTACTGTTCACAGTAAATGAACAAAGATTATTTCAAGTTGAGACAATGCGGTATTGGGAAATATAAGCAAAGGATCTTGTAATTTGCTTTAAATATGTACTCAATCACCATGAGAAAATAACTGTAGCTAGCAATCAGAAATATATTTTTAAAAAAGCTGATTTCGCAGGAATGAACAATTTTTTTACAAACATAGACTGGGTAAACGTTTTCGATGCAATTAATGTTCAGGAGATGTAGGACACACTCATTTTTTACGTTAACGAAGCTTGTCAAAAATTTATACCTTGTCACAGCTCGAAAAACAGGGTTCATAAAAGAATTTTTTGGATTGACAATGAACTAAAAGAACTTGCTAGGAACAAAAGATGAATAAGACATTTAAATTGTTGCTCAAATTGGAAAAACAAAAATATGGTAAACGAATACAAAGCATTGTGTAGAACAGTTAAAACTGAAGCCAGAAAAGAATATGAACGCGAACTGGTCTACAAATCGATTAGGAACAAGAAGATACTATTTAAATATGTGAACTATTAACAAAATGTAAAGAGCTCAATTAAAGCGATAAAAAACGTCGAAGGAAATGATACAAATACGACCAGTGAGATTGTTGACATCTTAAATGAGAATTTTCAAAACTCTTTCAATATAGAGGGCAACTAAGTATTACCAGAATTTGGATCGAGATGTGGGGCAGATTTTGACGAGAGTGCAATTACAGTGACGTTGTAACAAGATTGAGCAAATTATCAAACAAGAAATCATGTGGAGTTGACCAATTGGGTACTATCATATTAAAAAGTTGCAACGAAGGACTTGCATTGCCAATCACATTGGTATTTATGTCATCGATTGAAAAGAGCGAACTGCCTATGCAATGGAAATTAGCAAACATTACCCCAATCTCTAAGAACAAAGGCAGTAATCTAGAAGTGAATAATTATCGACCAGTTTAACTGACTTCTGTGCCGTGTAAAATTCTAGAGAGCATAATAAGAGGCTCATTTTCAGCACATTTTACGAACAATAAATCTTAATCAAAGTGTCAACATGGATTTGTTAAAACTAGATCATGCACGACAAATCTGATGGAAACTGGATAATTTAACAGAAAATATTGTACTGAATTGTCCGGTAGATGTGGTTTATTTAGACTTTGTGAAAGTTTTTGACACACAAAACCGCACAAAAGACTTGTTTTAAAATTAAAAACGTATGGAATAACAGGAAAGCTGCTAAAGTGGTTAGAGGAGTTTTTAAAATAAAGAAAACAATGCGTAGTAAACGGGGATATTGTCTCGAGCTGGCGCGAAATCTACAGCAGAGTTCCACAGGGATCAGTAATTGGCCCGATCTTGTTTGTTGTGTTCATAAAAACAAAATATAACCAAGCTCTTTGCAGATGACACAAAAATAATGATCGATGTGAACTCAATAGAGAAAATAAACAGTCTTCAACGAGATATAAACAGTGCTTGGGACTGGTTTAAAGAATGGTTAGTGAGATTCAATAAAGAAAAATGCGAAATAATACACAATGGCAGTAAAAATCAAAAACACAAATATTCTATGGATAATGTTGTTGATAATTGTTGATAATTGATAATTGTTGATAATGATTTAGGCGTATTATTCTCGGCAAACATGAAATGGAGACAGCAAATTATATCTTGCAGCTCGAAGGCAAATAAAATGCTGGGAATGATTAAAAACACATTTGTGGAACTGGATGTGCAGACTCTTAAAGTCTTATATATGACATTTGTTCGCCCATTAATTGAATTTGCGGTTCCAGTGTGGTCCCCTCATCTTAAAGGAGAAATAGAAATGCTCGAGAAAGTTCAATACAGGGCTACGAGATTCAATCCCACTCTGGCAAAAATTAAATACGTCAAAAGACTGGAGATTCTTGGCCTCACCCCATTATATGAACGCAGAATTCCTGGAGATTTGATCCAGACTTAAAAGTTATTAAACAAGACTTTATAAACGTTTTCTTCAAGCCAAATGATTTTCAATTATCGAGAGGAAACGGTGTCAGGTTTGAACGCGAAAAAATAAAGTGCAACTTAAGACATTCATTCTTTACTAACAGAATAACAAAAGCATGGAATAAACTACCAAGAGAAGTAGTTAATGCAAAATCAGTAAACAGTTTTAAAGCACAATTAGACAATTGGCTCTAAAATTAATACTGACACAGCTGGTTAGTGTGTTATTAATACACACACTCGTCTTCGGGCGGCTACAGCATCTACTACTACTACTACTTAATATTATAAAACTTACAAGTGGCTGTGACCAAGTTGTCTAAAATATAATAGTCATGCGTGGACAAAAAAAAAAAAAAAAAAACTCTTTTATTTTGGGAAGACCTGATATATATATATATATATATATATATATATATATATATATATATATATATATATATATATATATATATATATATATATATATATATATATATATATATATATATATATATATATATATATATATATATATATATATATATAGTATATAAAAATTTTTTTTAAACAAATTAAATAAAGCATGAAAAAAAAAAAAGTGTATGGTTTTTATTTTTTTATTACAGAAGTGTATGGTTTTTATTTTTAATTAAAGGGAGATACTACTCATTTATGGCAGCAAAAATGCTTTAGAATGTTTAAAGGTGGCTCTCTATGGCAACCACCTCTTATGAACCCATTTGCTCCGACAAATATATCTGGTTTAACTGCATCTGCTTCATTAGCATCAGTTTCATCAGCTAATGTGCATAGTCTTGTAAAAGGTAAGAAACTTTTTTTCTAAAGATGATTTTGTAGAAGAACTATTTTTGGTGTAATTCTTTGGATTCAAAAGTTATAATATTTTTGAGAAAAAAAACAAGGTAAATATTTTTGAAAAAAGATGTAATATTTTGGTGTAGTTCTTCAAAAGAATTAAACCAAAAGTTATGATGAGATAGGAGAAGGAAAAGTTCATCCTTATAATTATAAATATAAATACATTGTTATAAAAATGTCATGAAAAATGATATGGTGTAGTTTATTAGTTGCTGATTTACTTTTTTTTTTTTGAAACTGTTAATTTTTCTCTGTTAGTTTAACAGAGAAAACTTCATATGGCATATAACTGTGAGTGTCTTGTTTTCAAGTTTAAGATCCATAAATTTTCTTTTGTTACTTGTTAGTTAATATTTAAATAGTAAACGGCCATGGTTGATATTTGACAGAAGCTGGGATCGGGTTTGTGAAAGGGTTGCATAAACATTTATACATCCTAAAGTACATTTTTCAAAATTTATAGTTGGTTTTGTATACATATATGCATTTATAAATATCATTATGATCAACATAATCATCATGATCATCATCATAATTGTCATCATCATCACCATCATCATTATCATCATTGTCATCATCATCAATATTGTCATCATCATCATCAGCAGCAGCAGGCTTTAGCCTTCCTCTTTCATGCTGTTTCTCTAATCATGGTCAATACTCAATTGAGCTATCATCTCTATTACAATAAACCAAAACTCATTCTTGCTTGGCATCTTATTCAACAAGTTGCATCTCTTTACTGTATGTCCCTATTTATTAAATACTGGCATAAATATAAGCCAGAATTTAATAAAATTGTAATATATAAAGAATTTTAAATTTATTTTTAGCCCTGGCTATCACCCCCTGCTAAATCTTATAATTTTGCCGGGGTCAGGGCCGGATTTGCAAAAAGTCTCATTTTTAGCCGGGGCCTCACTATACCCAAACTTAGGCTAAGAGGAGGCTACCTTGTCTTAGGTATTTTTGTGACATGTTGTAGACATTCAATTGGATTAATGATTTAATGCAATCGAACTTAATTTTGAATTGTAATTTATTGATATTGACTAAATGTTGGATTTTGACAAAACTTATTGATATTGACTTTTGCTAGTGCCTTGCTTCCGTTCAGATGTAACGTCACCAAGAGGACACATTGCATTCTATTAGTAAGAAAGGCATTTTCCCTAAAATTATTTTCCCTAATCCCATATAGTTCAAGCTTTGTTATTAACCTTTTGTAAGGAACTTAAATGCTTTGTCAAAATCAAATTAAAAAGTTTAAAAGGAAGATTACCTGATGCAGTGAAGGTCAAGAAATTCCATTTTTTGAAGTAGGTTTGTATTGCAAGATTTTTTCCTAACAGATTTGTGTTAACATTTATAGTAAGATTTTGAATATATTTTCACTGTTCAGTTAAGACAGGTGATTGTTTAATTGAAAATATTTTCCTTTTTTATAAATTTAAAATTGTTGAAACTATGGTTAATGTCATTACCCAGTAGATAATGCTAGAATGATAACGATAATGTTAATTAATTATTACTGATAACCAATTGAAAGTTTGTGGTCTATTTCCAAAAGGTGTACCAACACTATCTCATTAAAAAATTTTTTTGATTTGTTAAATATTAGATTAAGAGTATTTTTAAATATTTTTTAAATATTTTTTTGAATAGTAATAACAGTTTCGTTACATGTTAATGTAGGAAGAGACAAATTTATTATTTTCAATTATTTTTAAATCTTAAATAGATTCAGTACATTAGGTTTTTAGCCCTTTTTTCTATTGGATGTTACAAAAGTTGTTATCACTTGCAGGACTCAATTTAACTGTCAGACATTGCTGCCCCCTGGACTATTTTTGAGATCTGATTTATGGGGGCAACCAACCATTAATCATTTTTACTGAAAATGTCAACAATGGTTTGTTCCCCTTCTCTAACAGATCTCAAGAATAGTCTGAGGGGAGGTGATGAGGTGGGGAGGTGTTAAATTGAAGGTGTCTGACGGTTAAATTGAGCCTTGCACTTGTAATGATAAGGCTTGCAAACTTTTTTTTATTTAATAACATATTTAGCATACAATATGGTGTTTACAAAATCATTGAAAACTTTTACTTTGCTAGTTGGTGGGTGATAAATGCAACCAATAAGAAGAATTAGCTAGTGAATACTACAAACAGCTAGTGAAAGTTCAAAAAACTTGTTTTAGTTTACAAGCAGCTTAAAAGTTTATTAGGTGATGAAAGTGTATACAAAGACATGTTTGACATTTCGCTGATGTCATTTTAACAAACAGTATCTCTGCAAGCAAAATATTAAAATGGTTGATTAAGTTTAAAATAAGGGCTTAATTTCATTATTAGTTTTTTCTTTTTTAAATTCAGCTTATTGCCTAGACTCTTAAGTATTTTGACACACACACACAGATAAAAAAATTGATCAGAAAAACAAATCATTTTACTACTTTTTAAAGTTGGCAAAAATAAAACAACTCTATATATAAGAACATTAAAAAAAAAGTTATATACCAAACAGAGATCATGTAGTTTCATCATATATACTTTATACAATAAGGCTTGATTTTAATTTAATTTATTATGTAATTATTTATTTTGGTTTTGAAAATTGAAAAGAATATGTAACTTTTAATCCATTGAAACTAAAAGTATAAATTTAATTTTAAAGTAATTGAATCAATTTTTCATTGGTTGTGGTTTTTAAATAAAATATCATCATCTGCTATTATTTACCATTTAAATAAAAAATTAACAATTGATGTACTAAATTAAACAGTTTTTCATTTTAAATGTCTATATAGAAAAATAAATAGCTAAATTATAAATCTAAAATATAAATCATATAAATTATAAACTTAAAATTAAGCTTAATAAACAGCATAAAACTCCAAAAAATATTTTTTGCTTATATTTAGTTGATATTGGTTGAGTATAAATACTCATAGTTGAACTTTACCATAAACTTTACTTTATAACAATTTAAAACTATCTGTACTTTGCATCTTTATTTATATTTATATAAGAGCAAAGTATCAGCAGTACTAAAGTATTGCACTGTATAATTTATGTCATAATAGAGCAGGGCCTATTCTAGGAAAAAAATTTGGGCTTCGGTACCCCCTCGTTCTGGTAAACTTTAGCGGAAAATCGGCGGTTTTTTCGCGAAAATAACAGTATTTGCTGTAAAAAACGTTTAAAAAAAGGTCCTTAAATTTTAATTTGGGCAGCGTCCAAATACGTTCCACGCTGTCGAAAACCCTCTAGAATAGCCCATTCATTTAGTATAAAAGTGAACTGTCAAGGTAAAGTATAATTTTGTCAACTAACATTTGATTAAACATAATTCTCACTTTAGTAAAAATAAAAATAGATTATTATTAATGGATAGTTAACTTTCCATTTTTGGTCATTAACAATATTTATTCGCTGTTTCAAAAGCTTCATATCTAAAAATGCAATATCCATATTTGTGAATTAAAAAAAACTTTATTTAGGGTGTTCAAAGTAAAATATATATTTATTTACAAAATAAAAATATATTTCCAAAATTAAAAATATATTTAGTTACAAATTAATTTTGTGTAAATAAATATTTTATTTTGAATATCCTAAAATAAGTGTTTTATCACATTTTTTGATTTTTTTTCCTTTTTTTCTTTTTTTGCAAGTATAGTTTAATTAAGCACAATTCATTTTTTTAATGCTACTCTATTAGTTTATCTTTTTAGGTGATACCTCTCCAACACTGGCTATGAAGAAAAATATGTTGTTGGAACATTTATTGAGCAAATCAGAAGCAGAAGATAAACCAGTTGAAAAAAAGGTTTTATCTGATAGGTAAAATACAATTTTAAAAATTAAATTAAACAGAATTTATTATTAAGAGCTTATTAAATTATTATTAAAATTTCAAAATAACATAGCTCTGTTAATAATTATTTATTATCAGGCAACGAGATAACCTTGAGGATCTTTTACGTACTGTATCCACTAACAGATCAAAAATAGGAGAATTAATGTTGTGGGCAATTGATCATGCAGAATATTCAGATGAAGTAGATCTTTATTTTTGTCTTATTGTTGATTTTCTTCTGTTTAATTTTAACTGAAACTTCATTGCAACTCGCTTTTAGATTGTTGAGTGTATATGTGAATCTTTATCTATTTTGGAAACACCGTTGTCAACAAAAGTATAAATTTTTATGAATGTCATATTATATTTGTATTTTAAATGATCAATTTATTTTATTAAAGTTAAACTTTGTATAATTAAGATGTAAAGTAATTTTTTAGGTTGCAAGGTTATTTGTCGTAAGTGATATCCTACATAACTCCAGTGCTAAAGTTAGGAATGCTTCTAGTTTCAGAAAAGCGTAAGTTTAATTTTCAGTTTCCTAAAATTTTCCTAAAATGAAAAGTTTAATGCAAAGAAGATTTTTTATGTTCTGTATTTTATTTTGTTTATTTATGAAAAGTTTAATGCAAAGCAGATGTTTTATGTTCCGTATTTTATTTTATGTTCTGTAAAGTTTTTAATATGTGTAGTTTGTATGTTGTTATTAGAATGCTACTTAATAAAATTTTTACAAATGACTGTTTTTGTTATATATGGTGCAGGTTTTATGCGTGTTTCTTGAAATAGACCAAGGGAATGAAAGTTTTAGAGTAATATGCAAAATGTGAAATGTTTATATAAGATAATTTATGCATACATAGAAAATAATTTATATAAGATAGTTTATGCATACATAGAAACAGGGCTTTGGAGCAGCTCTGGAGCCAGAGCTATCCAGAGCTGGTGATTTCACATGGAGCTGAGTCGGAGCTGGAGCTAAAATATTTCCTGCTGGAACTGGCTCTGGAGCCAGCTCCAAGCAGGAAATGATTTTAAACGGGTTTTTTTTTTATATTATTGATATTAATTTTGCTTATACTATCTTATCTTTAAAATTTGTTATTTACTTTATTTTTATAGTTTTTTATAAAAATAGCTCCAAACTCAAACGATCCTGAGAAGTTTCTAGATAAATATTTTTAATTGATAAAACTACAAAACTGGTTACATTTAAGATTACAGAAAAGATAAATGACAAAGTGATTTCATGCACCATGCAAATAAAAAAATCAAAAGTTTGCAATATGAAACAGCATTAGGAAAAGTCACATTTATCAAAATAAAAAATTTTTGAATCTGAAATGAGCTTTATAGCCCAAAGAAAGTCTACAAAATCATTTTATCACATTCATAGTTTTTAATACTAAAAAAACTAAACAGATACTTTAGATTCTTTTTTTTATCTAGTAGTTTAGCAATAAATCAAGTTAGTGCTAAAACTTTGGAATTATTAAAATGGTAGTGAATAACAGAGTTTTGTTGAAAACATTTGCAGATGAAGGATTTTAGTTGGTTACAAACCAATTAGGTAAAACTATTGGATTCAGTACTGGAGACAATTCTGTACGCAATTTGATTAATGAATTTGCTTTAAAAAAGAAAGCTGAAATAAAATATTGTTACAGAAATTTATTTATGTGAAAATAGATGCAGTTACTTGACACCAAAATAACTATTTGGAAGTAAAAATTAATATTATTATACGAAAAAAAATTTAAAAACTTTGGCACTGATAGATACACAAGAACAGCACAACCCTGTTGCTATCAAAAAAATGACAGAGGATCTATATAGATTTGGTATCAGCACTCTATCTAGATTTAGTATCAGCAATGATAAAATAATATATACAAGTGTAGACAATACAGCCAATATGATTAGAGCAATCACAATTTTAAACAAATATTTAAGTGATGAAAACTTTTGAGATGAAGCTTTGCATGATTAAGAACAAGTGGAATTTTTACAACAGGATACAAATGAAAAAGAAAGTGAAGGAGGTCGGGAATAAAATCTAGCCTTTAACAACCCAGAATGGTGTCTACTGGCATTAAGCTGATGATATGTGTTTTTCACACTTTGCAGCTAGCTATTCATATGGTTTAAAAAAAAAACATGCATTGCCTAACTATTGGCAAAAGTTCGTTATGTTGTAAAGAAACTAAGAAACTTAAGTACAATGTTTTTAGCTTAGAATCTAGTTCCGATGGAGAAAAGGATGAGTTTGAAAAGGAGCTTGATAAAAATGAAAAAAGGAGAAGTTGACAAAAATTAGTTTTGGTCACACTTTTTTTTTATTTTTTTTGGTAAAAATACTTTTTAATACAAATTTTTTGGACGACTGTGGGATAATGGAAAAAATGGGACGTTCAAAAGTGAATTCAGCTTTTGAGGGAATTGAAGAATACCCAAAAAGAATACAAGAAGCGTGCTGAGTTTGTATACCTATCTCACAAGCAAGTGTAGAAAGACTAATTTCTGCTCTTAAGTTTGTATCGAGCGATCTGGGTTCTTCAATCAAACCTGATACTTTAGATACTTTGTTTTTAAGGATGAATCAAGATTTTGATTAACAAATATTAATAGTACCTAAGTTACTTTCATAAAACATAAAAAAAAGATTTTTTGGGGGGAAGCCACTCCGAAGCTGGAACTGAAAATTCTAATAGAGCTGGAGCCAGAGCCAATTTTTAAACCTCAGCTCCAAAGCCCAAAGAAAAACAATCAAATCTTAGGAAAACTATTTTTAGCTCCGCCATTGATTGCCATGACAATGTTAAATATGCAACAGATTAAAATAGTAAATTAACATTGTAAAAACACATTACTAATGTTTTATAGCAGTAAAAAAGAATAAAGTATAGTATAGCATTCAAAGGAATAGTAATGAATATAAAAAAAGAAGCAATGTGAGTATAAAATAAAGCACAGGTTCTGAAATTCATTTCTACACAATGGAAAAAGTGGTTCTTCAGTGTGTTAACCATGATAAAAGTTTTATGGCCTTTTTTTTAGAATTAAGGAAAATAATTTTTGGTATCCTACCTAGAGTTTTAGTTCATAAAAAACAAAAATCCTCAAAAATTAGGAAAGTCCCTTATTTAATAATAATTAGGAATGGTCTGACAAATGAAGTGTATAGAGGCTAGTTACACAGTTCTGAGGAGTATGGTTTTGTTACTGTTTTGAAAGATTAGCCCTTATCCTCTTTCTCTTATCAACACCACAATTTAAAATATGGTTCACTTTAAATACTACTGTACAGTATACAAAGAAAGCATTCCTTCTATGCTATAAGGATGCATTAGCAAATTATTTTTTGTTTAAACAGCCTGTTTAGATTTCGCTAAAATTATTAGCAAAATAGAAAAAAATTTATTCTTGACATCTTGAAAAAAATGATTAAAAAAATCTTGCTCTTGAACATGTAACACTGTTTGCCATGTGAAAGCAAGATTTTTTATAATAAACACTACTTCTATAAAAAGTTTGGCCTCGACTTATTTATTGAGATTTAGTGTATCAATCTAACAGAAGAGTGACAACGTTTTTGTAAATTTTAAATAAATAAACAAAGGAAAACATATGTTAGAATTTGTCTTTTCAGTTTAATTATTTTGTAGTGTATGTAACATCAATCTAGTTCCTTTTCACAGTCTAGCTTTAACAATTTTAAAAAGTCATGACACACACATATATGTATATATATATATATATATATATATATATATATATATATATATATATATATATATATATATATATATATATTTTAAAACATCTTTGTTTCCAACAAGGCTACTAGCAACCACTAATTAGAGTTAAAAGTTACTGGAAGAGAAAAGATGAAGATTGCAGAGCAAGATAATGATTGACAGACAACTTAAAAGATTGCAAATTATATGAATCAGGAAAGCAAGATAAAGGAAGCGAATTCCAAAGAACTGATGTTTGAAAAAATAGGAATAAGAGTTTTTGGAACAAGACATAAGTCAAGTAGAGAAGGCAAATGATTTGGGTTGTCTGGAAAGTGAGTTGGAAAGTTGACTGTTTGAGTATGGGATTGAGAAAGTCAAAAGTTATGGGCTTTAATGCCTGCAGAGTCACTGACACTAGAGCCAAGTGTGATGAGCATTAAAGTCACTGACAACAACAATATTAGCAGATCGATAAAGAGAGAGGGCTTGATCAATATGATCAGAGGTGCCACAAGATCCTTAAACATCAAACAGGTCCTAATATTATCAAAAAATAAGTTTTTCAAAAAGTATGTCATGTTGGGTCTCAAATGAAGCAAAGTTATATAAAAATTAAAAAAAAAAATGAATCATTTTATAAATAAACTATTATTTTAGATTTTGATAAATAGAAACATTTTTTTAACTTAAAAACTTTTTTTCTCAATTTTTTTTTTTTATAAAATAATTATATAGAACGCATTTAGGTGTCAGCAGACATTTTCAAAAAAATTTGTTTTTAACACCACCTTAACCCATTATACATTAACTCTTGAATGTTATAAATTAAGAGTGGGATAGTCACTCATCAAAATGTGAGATTAGCGCAAAAGCAAAACTAATTAAACAAAAAAGTATTACAACTCCAAAGTACATAAGTTAACTTCTAAAGTATCAAAAAAATGATCTGACAGAAAGATTTTCTGTCATTGTTATGATATAACTCAATTTGAGATACAAAAAACAAAACAAACATTCCTAATTTGCAGAACCAATTCCTAGAACCAAGGCAAGTCAACTTTTGCTTAAAGTGATATTTTTAATGGAAGCTACTTTAGTAATTCCTACAAAAAAAAATGAACTTGAATATTTCATAATATAATTTGATGGAGTAATATTATAATTTGATGGAGTTATTAACAAATTGTTAAAGCCGAAACAATCAAATATTTGACCTTTGATTTATATCATAGTTTTAGTGAATTTTACACTATTTTAAAACTTTTTTAAATCAATTGATTCATATGCTTTAACTTTTACAACATCCAAATGATGTTGGTACTTACTCTCACCTGCTAAATAAAAGAGGGTGGGGGGATTCAATTTTTTAATTCACTAATATTGAGGTCTTCCCCAAGAATACCACAAATAAATTTGTTTTGTCAGCTGTTTAGCTGAAATATTTTTTTAAGGGGTTATGTGGTATTTTTAATTTTATTATATTTGTATATTGTTAATTTAAATAAGATGATAGATCAAAGAACTGTATGTATCTTTAGTTTCCAAGGAGAACTTCTTGTTGTCATGGAAAACATGCACAAAGCTTTAACTACTTGCAGTACCAAATCGCAAGCTGAAAAATTCAGAGTAAGTGCAACCATTGCTATAACCATTTTGATCTAATATTTTACCAAAAAATTTTAAAATTTTCATTTCTGTTATTATCTTTGTATAATTATTTTTAGTTTAATTAATTCAACATAATTTAGTAAACAAATAGTTTTGCAAAAGTTTGTTGTAAAATAATGATTTTATTGTGGTTTTTGTCAATATTTTGGCTGAAACTGAAACCAAAAGTTGTGTTTTTGCCGTTTTCAACTTGTTTGATTTTGGTAGAAATATGAGTTTGAACTGTTTACATAATAAACCAAAATGTTTATTATATGATTTTTTCAAATTTTAAAGCCTTATTTTTAATTTAGTGTGGTATCATTTTAAAATCATTACAATTGCTTTTAATTAAAGTAATTGTAGTAATTTTAATTAAAACTCCATTGCATAATTGATTTAAATTGTTTTTCTTAAATCATCTTTAATCAATAATTTCAAAAAAGTTGTTTAACAAAAATAATTAGATAAGAAGTTGTTTGTTGAAATATTTTACATTTTAACAAATAGCTTCTTATAATTTTGAATGTAATTAATTACATCGTAAGTTTTAAAACTTTTACATTTAAAAATTACATCAGCTAGTGATTACAAAAGCAAAGTTTGCAAAATCTGCTATTTGAAAATATCTTTTCGGATCAAACAATTTAAAATTTTTTTCAGCAGGTATTTATCTTATTAATGGGCTTTAGCACCCATAGCTTACTCAAAAAATTTTATTACAGAAAGCTTCAAAACTACTGGCAGTCCTGAAAATACACCAACTTTAAATCAGGTCTTTTGCAAAGTAAAAAAAGAACAGCAGCTTTATTCAACATAATTCAAAGTGGTGAAAAACTGAAATGTTACAACCTATTATTGCTGGGTTGAATAGCTAAAAATAGCTAAAAAGTTGAGCTATTGTCAACTTCCTATTTTTCAAATTAAGATATTTTTAGTTTCAGAGGTTTGTATTTAGTTTCAGAGATGTTTAAAATGATTTATTTAAAATGATTGTCATTAACTGTAAATGATATCAGGATTGTCACTAAGCAGTTTTTACACCAAACTTTGATATCTGAATAAAAAATAACTATAATAGCTTGCTTAACTTTTACCTCATCAGTCTTAATGCTTTTATCACGGATACTTGGTGATGTCAGCACACTTTATTTCAGACAACTGGGAGCAGATTAAATTCTGTCATGTTCTACGTTCGATGAAAAACATTCTGCTTCACACTTTTTTAGAGATTTTAGAATGTTACATAAGATTGGGAACTAAAAATTAGTTTAAGAGTTATGCCTTCTTCTTGCCCTAAGCTGTCATAAAAAAGAAATTAGATATCAAGATTGGTCTAATATATCTAATAGTGATGACTTAATTTCAAAACTGGAGTTGTCAGTCAAATGAAAAGCTAATGCGAGGAGTGAATATACAACCCACAATAATATGGAAGTGCTGGTCGTATATTAAAGAGCTTACATGGATTAGACTCCTGTGCTTGGAGTATCTCTGACAATAGTCACTAAATCACCATTGACTGTCCCAGAGCAGGTCAGTCTTATATGAAACCAATGAACAATAAGCTATTAGCCAATACAAACTGCAAATATAAAAAATTGGTTCAAAAAACCTAAGTGTATTTACAAATCTGCTGAATTTCTCAATCATTCACTTCAACTTTTGATAAAAAAAAAAGAAATTATTTTACATCAGGGTATTGTAAGCTTGATTAAAAAATGTGTGATTTATCATGCATCAGTGCATGCATTTTAATTGTTTTCTGGAAGAGATGTTTGCATCAGTGCATACATTCTAATTTTTTCGAGAAGAGATCTTGCATCAGTGCATGCATTCTAATTTTTTTTTGGAAGAGATGCTCGCATCATTCTAATTGTGATGATCATCATGAAGTAATTTGAAATTCCTTTAGGTGAAAAAGAATTTTGATTAAATATATTTTATTTATGAATTTTTATAAAAAGTATATTTTTCATTTAAATTATGTTGTATTGAACTATGTGGTGTAAAGTATTTGATTGTTCGCAAAATAAACAAACGTGCTTTATTTCAAATCAAGCAGTGTTTATAAATTTACTTTCTTTTTATTTACCTGCTAAATAAAAACTAAAATGCCAATGTATCTTTAAATTACCATAATCTTTTAAATACTAATAAAATAATACATAAACAGTAATAACATGTAATAAATAAAACAAGAGTGCAACTTTTATTAGATTTCTTTTTAACTTAACCTATTTCAAAAAAAATTTTTAATTATTAAACAAAACAGAAAAAAGAAATTATCTTATCAGACATTTTGGTTTGTTATAAACTGGAAATGCTGGTTAAAGAAATTCATGACAACTCTATTTTAATATATACATATGGTTCTCATTTGTAAATGAATATTTGATAAAATTTACTTTTTAAATTATTTTTTAGAGAGAAAGTAATGTAATTTAAGCGCAGAATCGAGGACCTGAAGGACAAAAATAATCCTGAAACATTAATTTCAGCTAAAATATTGTATAAGCTTATATGGAGTTCACATGTTACACACAAATAATGTTTAATTGTTTTAAAATTTTCAATTTTAATGGGTATTTATATAATAATTAACAATTATTTTTTAGAAACAAGTTTTATCATGTTTAGCAGCATGGCAAGATTGGTCAATTTACCCACCAGGGTTTTTGATAAATTTGCAAAATGTATTTGTTGGAATATCAACTGCAGAGTCAGTTAAAGTATGTTTTTTATTATTTTTTTTATTTGAAATCAAATTGTGTGCATTTTTTTTTATTGTTTTATCTAATTATATTCAACACTTAGAAAGAAGAATCACAGTTGCATAACAATGCTTTGAAAACAAACGATGTTGTTGATGATGATCTTGATGGAGTATGTCGTTTTTATATGTTATGTGTTAATTTTTTATGTTGTTTATAAGAATGTATGTTTGTAAGATATTATTTTAGGAACCTCTTCCAGATGATATTGATGGTGTTCCGCTCTCAAAAGGAGACCAAGATATAGATGGCATTGCTGTTGATGATATAGATGGTCTACCGCTCACAAAAGAAGGAGGTATTTTTTTCTATTGTAATAAATTATGTAATGTCCGATTATTACATTATGTTAATAAAATATTACATTACCTTATTAAAATTTTGCATTGTATTAGTACAGTATTAATGATTCACAAATAGAATTTTTTTTTTATTGTACCTTATTTTTAGCACTTGACATTTTAATTCTGATGTTGATTATTTCTGTTACTATAAAATAGCAAACTGTATAATATATATATTTAAATATATATATATATATATATATATATATATATATATATATATATATATATATATATATATATATATATATAAAATACTGTTAACAATGTTTCAAAATAAAGAAATTGCTAAATTTCTAGTAAAAAATATAACACAGAATTTTTTGGCAATTAAACAGCTATACTAATGGTGTTGAAAGAATCAAAATAATCCAGATTCTACTTGATTTAAGGAATTCAGTTGTCTTTTTGTGTTTAACGTTTTGTTGTTTTTGTTTGCTTTCTCTTACCCCCTCCCCCTCCCTTCTACTAAATTTTGTCTCATCAAATTAATTCAGAGATGGCCACAATAAGGCTTGTCTGGCTCTTAACAACCAATTGCACAGCCCTTTAGTTTTATTTCAGTTTTAAATTTTTTGTAGTGGTCATATACTGTAGGCACTTATTTGAAAAAAATTAACTAACATTTAAAAGAAGATTTTCATAGTTCAGAATATTTTTGATAATTTTGGGGTAATTAAAAAATGATTATCTTAATATGAATACAATCAAATTAAACAAACATTTTTTCGGCAATTCTCATGATTTTTTTGGTTTGTTACTGATTTTTAAATGAATAATATTCAAAAAATTTAGTTTAGGAAAGTATAGTTTTAAATAAGTTGCAAGAGATATAAATTTATTTATCCTAAGGGTTTTCTTGGCAATCATTCTAAGCAGTAACCCTGAAATTTACAAACCATCTCCGTATTTTATGGGTCCGGACAGCTAGTTTTTAATAATAATTTAATCATTTATAAGGATGGTGTCACTCATAAAGTAGTCTGATCAAAGTCAAGTAATTTTTTAATTATAATATGACTAATAGTCATATTATAATTAAAAGTTTGTGTTACTTCACTTTGTTTTAATTTAATTATAATATGACTAACTTAAATGGCTGGAAGTTTATTATTTTAATGATTCTGAAACGATAGCATCTTTTTAACGTGGTAGCTTCCAGTTTTAACGTGATTTAGTTTCCAGTTTGGCTCTAAACTGAACAACAGTACTAAGATGAGGACAGTAATAGTAAATATTCTTTAGGATAACTTTATCAACATAATGAGGGTTGCTAAATGGCTCTAGAAGATTTGATGGGTCTCTAATATTAACAAAATAAATTTAAATAAAATTATTTCAACCTAGATCTCAAAAGAAGCAAAAACATTTCAATGGCTGTTTTAAAATAAAGTAAAAAATATTTTTTTTTACTTTACTTTATACATTTCATTATTAACTTTGCTAATCAAAAAGCCAGAAAAACACATTTATGATTCAATAATAATAAATAATAAATTAGAAAAGCACTTTGTGTGTGTCTTTTATTCTGTAGCATGTATTATATTTATATGACACTTTGTGTGTGTGTTTTATTTTGTAGCATGTATTATATTTATATGACGCTGACTTATGTATTTGAGTTTTATAGACTTCATAACTGTAATTGTATTTAGTATTGTTCATGGCTGGAAAAATTATTTAATTCTATAGGATTTTTTATAAAAGCTAGCATTGTAACTTTGTAACATTGTAACCTTGTTTAAAAGTCATGATAAAGATAGTCTAGACTAGGGAATCTATTAATTGTCATGGAAATGTATATCTTGCATATATAATATTATTTTGTTTTCGTTCAAATACTTGAGTACACTTGAAAAATAATTCAAAATATATATTTTCAGGTTCTCGTTGGGAAAATGACGCGGGCAATACAACACAATGGGGAAAAGATGATCCTTTATCATCCTCTCGTTGGGCTCGTGTAGATAATGAAGACGATGCTAAACCAGCTACAAACTCAAACAAGTGGGAAAAAGTGGAAGGGGTTAAACTTGGCAAAAGTCATAGCGAAGAAGATTTTGAAAATAAAACGTAAATAGTTATTTTAATCTAAACATAATGAAATTTTATCTGACTACAATCTATAGCCTAATTTTGAGCGATAACTATTAAACTGTGTTTAATTTGAATTGTTGATTATTAAAACAACTTGTCCTAATTTTTTACAAACGTAATTTGCAAAATATTTGCTTTTTACTAAAAAATTCAATTTCATTTCTAGCACAATAAATTCAGGTGACAATAACATTACCAAACGAAGTGTCACCCCCACATTAGACAATGATGAAGAGAGAAGGAAATTTTTAAGAGATGTTGAAGTGAAAGTTATGCGGTTTGTGGATAAATTAGAACAACGAGGTGGCAACCGTTCCGGACTAAATATACAAAAAGAGGCTGCTAAATTTCGAAAACAGCTAATTACGGTACTTAATATATTTAAGTATTGTGTTATTTTTCTTTAGTTGTTTAATTTTCAGTTATCTCAATATATACTTTTTTATTTGGTCAAGGAATATGAAGAATCTTTATCACGCGAACAAAAACGTAATCGTAAGCGCGAACAGCGCTCAATATCTCCAGAAAGTTCAGAATCAAGAAAAAGAAAAAGAAGGAAAAGCTCTTCTTCTGGTACATCAGATTCAGAGTCAACTGTAAGATTATAAGATTTCACTTGATTTTTGTTTGTTTGTTTTTTCATATCTCATTCTTTTTTTTTACTTGAAATTTAAATTTAGGGATCTGAAAATTTGGATGCATCACGTAATGGAAGACGTTTATCTCGATCGCGTTCCCCACGGTTATCTCCATCTAGAAAGAGAAGTTTTTCAAGATCACCTAGACCTCGCTCACCTATATTTAGTGATCGATCAAAGTCACCATCAAGTAGAAGTTTATCACGTAGATCAAGTTCTTTCTCAGAATCGCCGCAGCGTAGAAACACGAATCGCTCGGTTTCCCCTAGATCACGCGGACGATCTCCGACTTCTAAATTTGATCGATCTTCGTCGCCTCAGAATTATTCACCGAAAAGAATCGCGTCGGCTGTGACAAAAAGTGCAAAGAAAAAGAAGAGTAAAAAGAAACGATAGTTTTAGTTAAACCTGCGAAATGGTTATATGGTAGAATAGCATCGTGGTGAATGTGGATGCTCGGCAAATATAAATTGTAAAGACAATGTTTTTATTTGACATCTTTAAGACTAATGAAAAGTTAGAACATTAAAAACGAACTAGTAACTTACCGGTTACCTAAGAAAATATTTAATCGTTTAAATTTTTTTTAACAAATTATTCGTTTAAATGCTTTTGAGCATAAAAAAAGGAATAGTTTCATTAATAAATATGTTTTTTTGTATATTTTTAAGTCTGGGGGGAATAAATCGGGTTTTTAAAAAATTTTAAAATAACAAAAACATACTATTTACTTATGGCATCAGCGCCCTAAGAGTACGTGCTTGTCATACGTACAAATGTTTGTACGATTTTTTATTATCGAACAGCCCGTATGAGTTATAAAGTCATTTCCAAATGTCAAATCAATTCATATCAAGACAGCTATTATTATGTTAGTGCTTAATTTGTTGCGATGACAATCAATATAAATTCGGAAATTAATAGAGGTTAATAGAGGAGAATAGCAATGTAATTCGCAGTTTAATACAAAAAGAATTGTAATTCAATTACAATTCTTATTGTTAATACACTTAGCCTCTCGTGATCAAATAACTAACCTCGCCTCCTCGTGGCCGATTTGGCATTCCAATCAATATTGGAAACCAAGTTGGAACGGCATAAATAGATATACAATGATTTGCTGAAAAAGTGTGATGAAAATATTTATGAATAAATTTCCATCCATTGCGTTTTCATTGTGTAAAGAAAATTTTATATTTTAGACAAAACCAAGCTTGATTGCATTGTAATTCCATATTTTAAATCGTTTCAAAGATTCTAACCAAACAAATCTAAAAAGTAAAAAATAATTTACAATAAAAAATGAATTTTTCTAAAAACTTTGGTTTGATAATATTATGACATTATGCAGTATAACATTTAATGCTTTGTTTGTGTGGATGTATTTAAGTGTACCTATTATAATTTAAATATAATATAATATACTTGCATAATTCCAGAGTTCTAAAAAATGTTTACGGAAACCGTTTATAAGAAATTTCTTATTGGCAATACTTGTCCAGTTTTGGCTATTTTAAATACGTATTTATTTATTGAACAGAAATTATAATAAAACAAATTTAAAGTACATAGTTGAATGATTCTAATAAAATCAGAAATCTCACAAATTTAATAAAATGTCATTTCAGCAAACGCAACTTTATTGTGTTGTAAATTATTTAGTGCTTTGTTTATTATTTTCAAATCCCTTTTAAAAATTTTTGAGCATAGGAGTTTATTATTTTTTACTTTTTCAGACATAAACTTTTCATGTATTTTTGAATGTTTACTAATATTTGTATACATTTTTTTTTTCAAGATTAAAATATATTTTTTCAAGATTTTGTAAGCTGTTGTCAAGCTATTCAATATAGCCATAATACATAGTCACACCTGCAGCCGTATTCTCATCTCTCCGTTAAGCTTAACGGAGCTTTTGCCTGAAATTTCATTACAATATATCTAAATAAAGAAATGACAAAAACCTTATTTAAATTATTTAAAATAAAACTAATACTAAAATAAAACATTTATTTTTAAAAATTTATATTTTTAAAGAACTTTTTATTAATATTAATGTAGTTAATAAGAAATTTTTTACTAACGCTCCGTTAAGCTTAACGGAGAGATGAGAATACGGCCCCTATAAAATTATGCATTATGTATATAAAGCTCTTTTAGTCCAGCGCATAGTGGGCCAAGATTGACATAAAATGGACAAAAAATCATTCCTCTTCACAACTTTAAAAATAAACTCCTTTATTTTTAAAGTTGTCAAATTGAAATTTTTATCAGTGACTCTAGTCAACATGAAGATCTTTTTGAAATTTTTTTTTTTTTTTTGCAGATGCAGGCACCCTAAACACCCTAATAGAAAAAGGTTAAATTAAAAAAAAGTTACAACAAAAGTTTAATACAATCTTTGTTAAGTTCAAGTTCTTTAATACATCTTTAATACATTAAGTTCAAGTTCTTTAATACATGTCGAATTCCTTCTTAGAGAGCTAATAATTGGATCTGAACTGCGCAATAATCTTCGCATAACATCTTTATTTGTGATTTTTCTTGAATATTTTCTTGTAATAGTTAGGAATACTTTTCTTGAATATTTTCTTGTATAGTTTCGGAATACTTTTCATGCCGTGTTTTCATCATTTGTTGTACTTGAACCTAGAGCCATAACCACAATTTTTATATTAGAGGGGCCCATATTACATATTAAAGACCTTTTTTTTTTTTAGGTACCCATTTTATAGGGCCCAAACATAGCAGGGGAAAAGCCCTAAAAAAAATATGTTTTTCCCTAATAATTATAATTTAATAATATTTTGGGAGGGTTTAGGCCCCCCTGGCCCCCGGTGGTTACGGCTCTGTGAACCGCTACTTTTTGGTACATCTACAATTAAACCTAAGTAATCTTTCACTTATTGTTGAACAAAAATCTTTTTTTATAACAGTTTCTTTATCATCGTCTCCTCTAATTTGCCATTTTCCTAATTCAACTCTATAACTTATATGAAGGCAGCATTCAAAGCACCTAACCCATGCATGCAATGTCCTTAATCTAAGCTCAGTGGAAACTGTATTATAGATTTTTGAAAAAGCAACATTTAGATTGTTCATATTTGAAGGGGTTAGTCCCTAAATACTACATACTTGAAGGGAATTACTTAAAAGCGAAACTATAGTAGCCACTTTTCCATCAACCATAGTGCATTCTGACTTATGTTTGATAACAAAAGAATTAAAGATCGTTGGTTTCAAGTTACTGTTCTTAAAGGTAATGTGTTCTTGTGTAATAACCTCAGCACTTTCTTTTACATATTGAAATTGTACTGGACGGCAGTAAAGTGTAGAGGATGGTTTTTCATTAGTCCATAGTGATTCGCCAGATTCTTCAATATAAAGTTTAATTGGAACAATGCAGGATAAAAATAAAGATTGTTCCTCGACATAACTGATACTTATCTCGTCTTCTGTACTTTGTTTGCATAATGATTGGCCGGTTGAACTTCTTTGAATATAAAGACAAGAATGGATTTTTCAGGAGCCTTTACAGATTCATATATATATATATATATATATATATATATATATATATATATATATATATATATATATATATATATATATATATATATATATATATATATATATATATATATATATATATATATATATATATATATATATATATAGATACAGTATCGGACAAAACAAGTGCAACCAAATAATGCTAATTTAGTTTCTTTATATAAAAGTACTACATTTTTTCAATTTAGAGAAATAACTATGTAACTGTTTAGAGACAACGTTCTTCAAGTTTTATTCATCACAAAGTTCATTATTTGTACACGAAAATTTATAAATTAATCAAAAGTATTAAAAAAAGTTGATTTTCTTCTTGACAAAACAAATGCAACTCCACAAAATGTTGACCAAGCTGTATTTTTCTATCAATATTTCGTGACGAATCTTTTGTTGTCGATCACAGCTTTGCATCTTCGAGGCATAGATTCGATCAGGTGATCAATGAAACTTTGTGGAATCGCTGCCCAGGCCTTTTGGATTTATTTACAATACATTGAAACGATGATCTGTTGATGAATGAACGATGATCGATGATGATGAACTGTTGATCCTTATTATGAACACCTTCACGATTAATTCTGCGGTTGACAATCTCCCACAGGTTCTCGATAGGGTTGAGATCCGGAGATTGAGGCGGCCAATCCATCACCAATAGTGTGTTGGTGGTTGTCTTGAAACCACTGCTTGACTACTTTTGCAGTGTGTTTCGTTGTCTTGCTGAAAAACCCATTTTATTGGCATATTCCATTCAGCATGAGGTAACATAACATCTTTCAGGATGTTTTTATACATGAAACGGTCCATTATTCCATCGTTTCAATGTATTGTACCGTTATCAATTTGTGTAATGTAATTTACCGTATCAATGTAATTTACCGTTATCATTGTTTCAATGTATAGACCGTTAGCCGAAAAATACCCCCAGACCATTACATTGCCTCCACCATGCTTCACGGTCTTATGGCAGTAAGGTAAATCGAGGCATTTTCCGGCCGGTCGACGTACACGGCAAATGCCACCGGTCCCAATGATGTTGAAGTTCGATTTATTACTGAACAGGACAGTTCGCCATTTTTGCACATTCCAGTCAATATGAGATGTAGCAAACAGGAGTCTTTTCTTCTGGTTCTTTAGTGAAATAAGCGGGTTTTTTATCACAAATACTTTTTTGTGACATTCCACTAACGTAATTGCCAATAATTTTCTTTCTTAGTTCCAATCCAAGACTGTCGGGAGCCATTTTTGCGCTTGAAATCATAAAAATAATCACGCTTCTCAAGGCTAACCGTGTTACATTTACCTTGTGATGATACAATAATGCTCTGTGGAACACAACGTCTTGGTTGGATGTGGACTGTATTGATGTAATGAAACACTTGTTGTATTTCACTTCTTGTATTGATGTTCTTCGATAAAAAAAACTTTGATAAAACTCACTTCGATAAACTGTCTTGATAATACTGACTGATTGAATTCCATATGCTGACTGAAGTACATGTCGGTTTACATGTCTCTTATATAGTAAAAAGAACCTATGTGAACCTGTTCTGGAAGATCCTAGATGCTTCTTTTCGATGCTTCTGGAAGCTTCTGGATGCATCTGGATGCTTCTGAATGTTTCTGGATACTTCTGGATGCTTCTTCTGGAAACTTCTAGAAGTTTCTGCATGCTTCTGGAAACTTCTGGATACTTCCTTTAATTATTAAAAAACTTCCGTGACGTTGACACGAACCAGACTTAAGAAAATTTAAGAAACCAAAAAAGTTGCACTTGTTTTGTCCGCTCAAAATGGTACTTGTCAACAAAATTCTGCCTGTGTGCTGTCACCTGTCAGCTGATTGCTCATGTCATGGCATGCTATGACGCCAGACTCCTGAACTGTTTGCTGTGGTAGTATAGTTCGTTTCGTTTTTAAGACATGTAAAATTAGAAACACCTTTTAGCATTGTTCGATGTTGGTTGCAAATATTTTGTCCAATACTATATATATATATATATATATATATATATATATATATATATATATATATATATATATATTTTAACATAAGAACTTTTTTAAGATTCTTCCAAGGACTACTATACGGAAGGACGCGCAAAGTCGATTTCCTGACTACGCTAGCGAAGGCCAGTCAATATTTCTCACTTAACTCCTAAATAACTAAAATTGGCTTAAACAACGTTTCATAAAATCAAAATTCTGAAATACGATTAAAATAATTTTACGTTATTGTTAATAACAAAATCAAAACTTATTTTAAAAAGCTTAAAAGATCGATATAAAAAACCTCTATAAAAAAACAAAGAACATATTATTGACACAATTTATTTATAAAGAAATAAACATATAAACATCATATTCTCTAGAGACTTTTAAACAATGTTAAAACTTTTTTTTTTTTTAAACATAATGAACTTAATATAACTTCGTAAAGAAATAAACAATACAATATTTTTCAAGTAAAAAATCTAAAAAGAAAGATTCAATACTCAGCAAGGCGTACATTCTTAATTGATGTCTGATAAAGACATGCATTTTTTGCTTGGTTTTTATCCAAATTCGGAATTCCATGCAGAAGAACATTTGCCAAATGCCTAAAAAGACTCTTTGATGAAAAACCAAAATCATAATATGTGTATAGATAGAATGTTTATAAGTCTTTTTCTACAACATGCTCTGTGCTTTGTTTTTTTCACAAAGCATAAACCAATTCTAACTAGCTGATAAGTACACTCATGTGGAACTGTCAAACAGCCCTTTGAAACTTCTTCAATAAAGTCTTTAGTTTTATTTGTTAGTTCAGGTTCATGATCTGGATAAACTAGTTCATCTTCACATTTTTTCTCAAGCCATCCTGCTACATAGGCAGCAGAGCTCTCTTCAGTTTCAGAAAGACTCACATTATAAATGCATGTTTCAATTGAGGTTACATCTTCAGTACTAATTGGACCCTCACATATGTGACCTTTTTTATTGGGTTGTCCTACTTTCACTGATTCTAAAAATGATGCAGCAAATCTAGCTAAAGGCTTTTTAAAAGCAGAGAAAACATTTACCAGCTGCCATAAAAGCATTTACCCCTGTTGATTGTCTATAAACAGAAAATTCTCCTTCTATTCTATCACTTTGTAGCTCACGAAGCAAAACATAATCAAAACCAACTAAAAACAAATGTTTGCAGAGAGCTATCAATCCTTCAGTAGTTTGCACAAGGACTTTTTTGGTATCATGGGTAAAGCACTGAACTCGTCTAGGCCCATGTCCTGATTCCATACATTTAAATATGTCTAAAAACAATTGAAGATTATTTGAATTTTTATCTTGCACAGATCGGTTGTGATCTCTCAACCTAACATCCTGCCCTTTTGCAGAAACATTAACAATATTCCACCAATCTAAAATCTGCTGGATAAAAGAGGATGTTTTATAAGCTCCTTTTAGTTTAAGGGAAGCTACTACTTTCTCATTAAACACTCTTAAAACATGCTGCACATTCTGTAGTTGAAGTCTCAAAGGATAGACAGCAGCATAGGATAAAGGAACTGTTTTTAAAATGTTCTCTTTCTCGTATTGATATAGACTTTTCACATCTGAAAATGAAGCTATGGTTTTATTATCGAGAGATAGCTTTTGACACTTTTCAGAAATCCAGTTATTGCGAATACATTTAAATAGATGAACTGTGTCAAATAAAAGAAACCAAACACGCTGATTGTCTAATGGATGAATGGTCTGATAGTCAGTTATTCTGTTAAAAATTTTGCAGTATTGCTGATTGATTTTATGATTATCAGTTACAGATCCTAAAACTATTGCACCATGTTTTTCAACTATAATAGCAGCTTCTTTCACAACAATGAACTGATACAATGATGTTAGTTTGTGAACAGGGGTAACAGAAATCATTAAACTAGGTCCACCATGTAAGCATTTTATCATGACACATAGCATAGAGGTTGCTTTAGATTCTGGATCATTTTTTGCCATCCCATTTAAAACGAATAAGCAACTGTTGGCCTAATTTTCACCTCGTCAACTATCAAAATATTATTTTTCTGTTGATTATTCTTTACGTTTTCAAATGTTTTTTGTAAAACATGGTCAATGTTAGTGACAGAAATTATAGACTGAAGCTTTCGTTTACTTGGAAGGACTAAAAAATCACGAAGTTGATCGTAGTTGCAGTTATAAAAAGACTCGATTGCAAAGCAATAATCAGCTGTAGAGAAACTTTTTTTAGACAAGAGTTTGAGTTTTCTTGTAATAAAATTCAATTTTTTTTGTTTTTTTATCATCATTTAATTCAAATTCATTTTCTGAAAGAGTATTTGTCATCTTTTCAATAACATCATTAACATGCAGATTATAATTATGAACTAAATTGATTGCTTCAAAAAATTGTGAATAGAAGATTAAGCCATTGTTTGGATTCAATATATTAGCTAATGGAACGGAAATTCCATGTTTAAAAGCTGAAAAAGTTAGCGGTGAACACAAGGTACACTTATCATAAACAATAATCGTCACAAAACTCTCTTTAAAATCTTTTGACATAAAAATGCATATGAATTTATCGTCTTGTCGAGATATTACTATATTTTTATACTTTTTGTGCAACTCATTGTCAGGATAAAAATCAGAAAAAAACATTTTTTTTCTATCTTTTTTGATGAAATAATTCAATTGCATGTCCTCAGGTTTAGATTGGCGAGGCACAGGCTTTGGCGTTGGTAAACAAGAAAAAGGAACATTAAAAATACAAGGTGCACACGCTGGTTGAGTATAGCCACCAGAAAGCTTAATCATTTCTGTATTTTCAGGCCAATATTTTTCACATATAAAAAATTTAGATGGCTCAATAATAAAATTTTTACGTAAAGGAAGAACATTAATCCATTTCTGTTTCTTAATTTCATCTTTCGGTAATTTAAAAATACGACACTTATTAAGTTTATTATAATTCCCTTTATAATTTACAACGCCACATTTGCTCACCATGATTATGGTTAAAATTAAAAAAAAATGTTACAGGAACGTTAAAGAACACTTTAACTTTGATAAAAATAATGGCCTTCGCTAGCGGAGTTAGGAAATTGACTTTGCGCGTCCTTCCGTATAGTAGTCCTTGGATTCTTCATAAATGAACTCAGTAATATTTCAGCCTAAAAATAATACTATCTAGATTTTGACAAATAGCTAAAATAGCTGCCACCTTATTGCTTAAATTTTTTCAAGTTGGCGACCTATTTTATTGAGCATCCGTGACGCAGTAGTTAAAGCGTTTGCTTCAGAATCGAGAGGTCCGTAGTTTAATGTCTGCTCTGTCAATTTTTGCGACATTGGCAAGGATTGAATGCGAACTTCTTAGTTAATTGCACCATGTGACAGTGATTAGACCTAATCACTTTAACAAAAACCTATATTTTAAACAAAAATGTGAACGTTATCTTTACCGATAGCGTTCACATTTTTGTTTAAAATATAGGTTTTTTGTTAAAGTATCTACGAATTCAATTAGATAAGAATTTATTAAGTTAAACCAATAATAACATCGTCTCTATCGAAACAATAGAAACAGATTCATGTACTATTATTTGAATTTTTTTTTTGCTCTTTACAGACTCAATTTCCAAACTAATCACTTTTTTGAACATGATTCTATCAGGTTATTTTAACTCAGTAGATCAACGATTTTCTCAAATGATGAAATTTAAAAAAAAAAAAAAATTTATTTCAATAATTTTCTTTATTAAAGACTACACAATTTTATAAACTTAACATTTACTCATTGACGTCTATATTAAAACGTTGTCGTCGGACTTCAAATATTTACTTATTGTCGTCTATATCAAAACACAGTCGTCGGACTTCAACTTATTGTCGTTTATATTAAAACGTAATCGTTGGACTTCAAACATTTTCTTCATTTACTCGAAAAAGTTTTTTTTTACAATGTGTCGAATACATTGTAACACAAGGTTTCGCTCGTGACGAATTTCATTCGCTAAAAGCTATTTACCAAAATACTATTTTTAACACGTTTATGCTATCATATTAAAAAAAAACGTTAGCATGATTCGTTTGTTATAGCACTGAAAAAAAAAAATATTTATAAAATTTTACCATTTCAAGAAGAGACACTTTTTTAAACTGCGGTCCTTGTATATCAACCTGAAGAAAAAGAAAACAATACTAGATAGTTTAGATAAAACATTTAACTGGTTGAAAAAAAAACAGAGTTTTTTTTTTCTAGCACATCTTACTGGGTTGACACTTTGATTGGCGTTTTGTTTTCCTTTACGCTTCCTTCCTCTACTGCGTTTTTGCATGAATTTTATGCTAGAATTGTTATTAGGATCGCACTCCATGGCAACAGGTAAAAGTGAAGCTTCTGCAAATAAAAATAAAAAAAAAACCCTACTTCGATATCCTTATATGAAGAGTGCATTTCCAAAAGGGTGTAAGTGCCAAAAATAAAAAATTTTCAGGAGGCAATAAAAATGTTTTTTTTAACACCGTAATGACTAGCACAACAAGTTTAGTACGCATTGAAGACACTAAGAACAGTATCGCTCCCATCTTTTGTAAATTGAGAATCACTTACAACTTATCTATTGTCACAATTACAATCTAAGCAGTAAACTAAAAATGAGTGACTTTGGCACTTACTCCCTTTTGGAAATGCACTCTTCATATAGTTTTTAAACATATAAAAAATGAATTTTATTCATAAATAACCGGTTTTGCATTTACAATACAACCGATTGTAATTCAATTAAGATATCTATATAAAATACATTATTTCAAAATGTTTACTAACAAGGAGATAAAAAATTAAAAACAGAAAAAGATTTATAAAGATGATAACTTAATAAAAAAGAAAAGAAAAATGATGACTTCAGTCTAGATTCAAGTTAAAGGTTGTGGGGAATATCCTTTTTTCTTAGGTGGCTACACGACTTTGGAGAGGTTAAATTGCAAAATGACTTGCATTTTGAAAGTGCTTGAGAATTCATTTTGAAAGTGTTTAAAAATTACTTGCAATATAATTGCAAGCAAGCACTAATTAAGTCGAGAGTTGATGAGAAAATAAAGAGCTAAAGAGTAAGTGATCATAAAGTGTAAGAAAGCGATTGACAGAAGACTTCAAAACAGTAAATTGTAAAACATGAATAATGTTATCCATCAAAAACAACTTTAATAATGCAATTTCTAAAGGAATGAAAAAACTTTCTCATATACACCCTGAGTAAACTAACGAAGTATTCTAGATTTTATCAAAAGCAATATCCCTTCCGTTAACAATCTAACAAACAATAGAACCTTTCTGTTACAACAGTGAGATATTAGAAAAGATATAAGAAGTTTGTGAAATCAAGATTCAACTACAATGCTAATAATAGGTGTCTTGATAAAAATACATCATGGGCAGTTGTTAACTGTTTCCAGTTAAATTTCCCTGCTCTGGGGCTCTTGATTAGGTAAAGACTAGAGATGGCATCTCGATAAAAATACTCATCTTGGGCAGATGTTAACTACATCTAGCTACTGTCTTGTAGAAGGCCTCCTAAGCAAAGACTTAAGGGGTAAATAAAATAATTCTGTTGATCAGCCTTGCATCCCTTCTTCATCTATTAGGCTGTTTCCTGCCTAAGATGACGAATACTTCTACTACTTTTCTTGATTTTTGCTAGTGCCTCCTTGATAGTGGCTGTGTAACTCTTTGTTATCTCACCATGAGGGTACAGCTCTTCAACTCAGTTTAATGATTCTGAGGCCGGTTTGTAGTAAGGTTTCCCGAACACTATGGCAGCTCTCAGAGAGGCTAATTCCATCAACAACAGTAAAATATCAGAGTATTCACAGTGCCATGTTGCGCATGATGTTCCTGTTTTTGACATGATTTGTTGAGGCCACATAAGGAGCCCTAAGTTACGACTTAAGGTTAATTAGTAGAACTGAGACAACTGCATAACTCGTCACTTGAGATGCCATGCATTATTCATAAATGAGTCAAGTTCTAATTAAACTTAATACCTAAAATACCTAAGAATATTAAACATAAAAAAAAGTTAACTATCTAAGTATGAGATTGAGAAAAACAAAAAATTTGAGCTTTGCTACTTACATAATGCAGATACCTATAAATCAAATTTATTCAAAATTAGCAGACTTTTTTTATTTTAAATCTTTTAAAATAAATGAATAAAAATGAAATTGCTAAAACAGCAAGAAAACTTCATGTACATTTTCTACAATAGGATATTATAATGAAACTATAATGAAGTGATTGCAGCACCTAAATTTGATTTTGAATCGACTCCTAATTAATACTTTAGAAAAGATCCATAATGCCATTTCTTTGTCTTTTATAAAGGCCTTTCTCCATCTTCTATAGAAGCAATTAATAGTATCAATAATAAGGCCAAGTTTGTAATTCCACCTCTTTTGTATGGTTCAGACTTTGTCACCTCACCTAAAGACAAAACTGAATTATTTGCTAAAAACTTTTCATCAATATCATCTCTTGATTCCACTAGTTGCGTTCTACCTGATATAGCCGTCAAACAGGTTGATCCATTGCTTGACATTCGTATCACTCCAGCTTCTGTATCTAAAGTGATTTCTGCTTAGACTCTTCTAAAGCTTGTGGCCCGGACAACATACCTGTTATAGTCTTGCAGAAGTGTTCTCTGGAGCTGTCAGCTACTTTTTCAAAACTATTCAACAAGGGCTTATCAGAGTCTTGTTTTCCAGCCTGCTAGAAAGCAGCATCTGTTATCCCTATTTTTAAAAATTCTGGATAGCAATCTGATTCGTCTAACTACTGTCCCATTAGTCTTCTTTCTATCATAAGCAAGGTTTTTGAATCTTTAATTAACAAACACTTAATCTCTCATCTTGAATCTAATAACTTATTTTCTAATCATCAATATGGATTTCAATCTTCTCGTTTTACAGCTGATTTGCTAACAGTAATAACCGATAGGTTTTATTGTACATTAGATAAAGGTGGAGAGGTTAAGGCCATCGCTCTTGACATTTCTAAAGCGTTAGATAAAGTTTGGCATGCTGGTCTTCTCCATAAGCTTTCTTCTTAAGGTGAATCTGGAAACATCTTTAAGATTATTGAATCCTTCCTTTCCAATCGTAGTATAAAAGTTGTCCTTGATGGACAGCACTCTTTTTCTTATTCTGTAACCTCAGGAGTTACTTAAGGTTCAATCCTTGGCCCTATACTCTTTTTTAATTTACATTAATAATCTTCCAGATATTCTCACATCTAAGGTGGCACTATTTGCTGATGATACTACTATTTATTCTTGTCATGATAAGTCAACACTCCCTGATTGCTTGGAGGGGGCATTTGAGCTTGAAAAGGATTTCACTTCTGCTACAGCATG